CACATGCACCCCAGTGTTCAATGCAGCACTATTTACAATAGCCAGGTCATGGAAGCAACCTAAATGCTCACTGACAGACGAATGGATAACGAAGTTGTGGTACATATATACAATGGAATATTACTCAGCCATAAAAAGGAATGAAATTTGTTGAGACATGGATGGATCTAGAGACTGTCATACAGAGTGAAGTAAGTCAGAAAGAGAAAATCAAGTATCGTATATTAATGCATGTATGTGGAACCTAGAAAAATGGTACAGACACCAAGGGGGAAAACCGCGGTGGGGTGGGGATGGTGGTGTGCTGAATTGGGCGACTGGGATTGACATGTATACACTGATGTGTATAAAATTGATGACTAATAAGAACCTGCAGTATAAAAAAACAAAAAAAAACAACTAATACTGAACTTTCTTTGGGTTATTTGTATGGAAATATGTTAATATAAATGTTTCAGACATTACAGGAAACTTCTAAAAATCTTATACGTTCTGGTTTAATGTTGTAAGTCATAATTCTAGTTATTACTTTAAAATGTATATCTTCTCAGAAATAACTAAATTTCCTTGTCAATTGCATTATTATGAACTTTCATCAAATCTTTGTCCGTGGTCATTTTAAAGTCTTTTGTCATTTACAGACAGTTCTGGGTGTACTGTGATGCTTTTGCAAAAGTGTTCCTGATAAAAGGGTTTCATCTTCAAGGAATTCATGGAAAAGACTCTGACAAGTACAGGTTTCTGGTAACTGACTATACTGCTGATCTGAATAAGCATTTTCAGAACTCTAATGGAAAACTGATGAATTCGTCGAAGTGCTAACAAAAGATCAAGATGACAAAAAAAATTAATTACATGGGACTGAGTGAACTGATGAGAATGATTATAATTTTTGTGACTTTGTTTGAATTAAAAAAAAAAATGGGCAAAAGATCTAAATAGACATTTCTCCAAAGAAGACATACAGATGGCCAAAAAGCAAAAGAAAGATGCTCAACATCACTAATTATCAGAGAAAAGCAAATCAAAATTACAATGAGGTATCACCTCACACTGGTCAGAATGGCCATCAGCAAACATTCTACAAACAGTAAATGCTGGACAGGGTGTGGGAAAAAGATACCCTCCTGCACTGTTGGTCGAATGTAAATGGTAAACCACTATGGAGAACAGTATGAGGTTCCTTAAAAAACTAAAAACAGAACTACCATATCTAGCAATCCCACTCCTGGGCATACATCTGAAGAAAACTATAATATTTACAAAAGGATACATGCATCCCTATGTTCATAGTAGCACTATTTACAATAGCCAAGACATGGAAGCAACCTAAATGTCATCCCAAATTATTTACAAAACAGAAAGAGTCACAGATGTAAAAAACAATCTTATGATTACCAGGGAGGATGGGATCTTGGGAGGGATAAATTGGGAGACTGGGCTCGACATATACACTAGTATATATAAAATAGATAACTAATAAGGACCCACTGCATAGCACAGAGAACTCTACTCAATACTCTGTAATGGCCAATACGGGAACAGAAGCTAAAAGAGTGGATATATGTATATATATAACTGATTCATTTTGCTGTACACCTGAAACTAACACCACATTGTAAATCAACTATGTTCCAACAACAACAAAAGAATCCAAAGACTTGGACTGTAATCCAAACTTCTTTATTAATATTTTAACTCTGGGTGAACCATCTATCCTCTGTGCATATCAGGCTTCTTATCTGTAAAATGATTAAAGATGATAACCTTTCCTCACCACATTACAGGGCTACTTTCTAGTAGACTGTGAGATATATAAATGCTCGGGTATTTTCTCTTTTTTCCTGGCCATGATGCACGGCATGTGGAATCTTAGTTCCCGGATCAGGGATCGAACCTGTGACCCCTGTGGTGGAAGCGCGGAGTGTTAACCACTGGACCGCCAGGGAAGTCCCGCTGGGATGTTTTCTTACTTTGCCAAAACAAAGTCACAAAGTTACGTGCGAACTGCAAAGAGTTCTTAGTGTATCCTATCTTAGTTCATAGCAATTAGAAGCATTTTGGAAGCAGAGAACGAGCGAATCAAGCTAGACTTCTAGAAAAAGGGGCAACAGGAAGGTTTGGGATATGACGGCCTAACGGTCAACGGTGAGAGCACTGGCAGTCTGGTCTAATGCACAGAAACAGCTCAAAGGGCCCTTCACATTTCTAGGACCCAGGGAGGTGAGAAGGGGGTGGGAGCACCATCCACTCGTTAATCTACTTATCAAATACTTAATCACAGAAAACATGATGTATCGATACAAGGTGTCTTTTCATTGATGATCCTCAGTTTGTTTAAAGAAAGTAATAAGACTGTTCTAAGTTATTTTTGGAGTAAGACAGGTTTAAATATATTCTAACTGAAGAGAATAGCAAAATATAAAATGCATGGCTATTAGGTCCAATATGGTTAAAATGAGAACATGTGATTGGCTCTTAAATGGGTAAATTTTTACTCATTTACTGAAAAATTCACATATGTGGAACTAACTCCAATGATATCACATAGTGATGTACTGTAACATCTATATTCACATTACTCAAATGACTACTTTAGGTAAGAATATATTAAAAAAAAAAAAAAGGGACTTCCCTGGTGGCGCAGTGGTTAAGAATCCGCCTGCCAATGCAGGTGTGCTCCGCAACGAGAAGCCACCGCAATGAGAAGCCTGCGCACCGCAAGGAAGAGTAGCCCCTGCTCGCCACAACTAGAGAAAGCCCTCACGCAGCAACAAACACCCAATGCAGCCAAAAATAAATAAATAAATTTTTTAAATTTTAATAAATAAAATTAAAATCTATAGGTCTATTTAAGTAAACTTGCTCAGCCTGCGAAGCTTATGGCCACAGGCTATCGGTTAATTTTCTGCTCCTCTGTGGTAACACTGTTTTGTGGCACAAACTTGATTCTACCCTAGTACCAAATAATTTCCCACCTAACATGACAAGTTAGGTTTTATAGGTATCTTAGGCCTATTTACAACATCTTTATATTTTTACACGGTACTTTCATAACACCATGCAAATTCTAAGAAAAAAAAAAATCTGTTTTTCTTCCAAAAGTCAATTCTTCAATTTCAAACAAAAGGACTTGGATTTTCTAGTAAGTGACCCTCAGTATTGAGATGATATGTATTATTGTGACTGTGGATATGCATTATTTTAACACAATAAAGTTATATTATTAAAAGAGTCATAGAAACCTTTTCTAGCAATAAGTTAGTATGAAAAGTAGTCTTGGGAAGAACAGTGTATTTAGGGGAAAAAAACCAGTCATCTGACCATTCAATAATCCAGCATGGCCTGCCTCTTTCATATGCATCGAGCCATGTTCCTATTACTGTTGCTCAATTCTCAGAATAGATTAAAAGAAACTATTTCTTTGTAGAGACAACAAACTAATACGTAAACACAGGCAATGAGTACAAACAGCCTTCGGAAGACAGGTTTGGTTCTGAAGAGCTAGAACACCTCATAAGAAATATACTTCAGTAACCAGAGGAGGCTGTCTGGAGACTGCAGGGCAGAACCTCTACAACAGCTGAGGGCCCGTCTTGATGCTGCAGCTCAGTCAGCCCTGCAGGGGACAGTCCTCAAACTTTACCTAACTTGATGGCAAGCAAGAATCATGTACATCAATGACAGGCTTTTCATAGAGACAAATTACCAGATAGGAATCTTGAAGGAAATTCTGAAGTGTGCATAAACAAGATTTTAAAAGTTAACTAAGTACTATGAACTAAGAACTTAATTTGTCCTATACAGTTAAATTTTTAAGAACAGAAGTGGGGAAGAAGACATGTCGATGAGAAAGAAATTAATCAGATATAATAAATTTGAAACCGTTCATTTTATTTATATATGCCACAATGACCTTAATATTAACAGAAGTCATAGGGTCCCATTTGGTCTCTTCACTCCACATTAATCCAGGAAACGAAGCTACTGAGTTGTATTTTAACAGCAATCTGACACCTCTTACATTTCCACAAAAGCAGTTCAGTGTACTTTTCCTACAGATTTAAAACAAACAAGCTGTTTCCTTTCCAGGAAGCTACAAATGTCATCCCTTTGCTTACCTAGTAACTGTAGGGACAAACTTGTTTGCTGTATCCAGGATACTCACCTACCTACCTTATAAGTCTCTGTTCTTTTGTTAAGTCTTTTGTTAACGCTATCCAGTAAGTGAGCATACAATGCAGCATAATTTTGTGTTTATAAAAGCCTTATTGACTTTCTGGTTCTAAACACTTGAGGGATTATTTAGACAACTCAGTGTACTTTAGATATGGGGGATAGCAATAGTGGCAGAGCCCTGATAAAAACCCTCTATTGGTTTCTATTATACTGCCCTCTATTTTCCCTTAGATGAAAAATTAAGGAGTAAGAGTTCAGCTGAGTAAATTTAAAGCGTCTTCTGAAATTCACCGAAACCTCTATAAAAGACAGCAAATACATACAAATTCTAATCCTCTGCTAAGTGCGTGAGAACTTATGTTACAGTAATAATTAAATAACAAGCATTCTAATATCAGGTAAAGCCTAATATTTTATAAGGGAAATGCAATAAATACGTCTGCAAAAGGCAACTAACTGAACTTAAGAGATTAAATATTACTAAAAAGCTGACCTCCAAGTTGCTTTGGCGGCAGGGGGCATGAGAATCCATGGGAGAGTACCTTCCTTTCTGAATTCAAATCCTTTAAAAGTTTTAAAGTATTTATTCGGAAGAAAGGTAGCTACAAAGAGTTTAGAAAAACAGATGACTTGGCAAACTACGTAAGAGATTAATTTTTCATCGTTCATTTTCTTCTCTTTGATGCTCACATTAAGTATGTATGCTCAATGTCTATAATACACTGGGCACAGTGCCATCATTAAGAATGTATGTACCTGTTACACAGGTACACATGACTATGCCTGGAGGCCCCACCTGTATGTTCCACCCACATACTTACGGAATTCATCCCACTGAACAGGTCTCCTGACCCCACGTGAGCCGTGTGCACAAAGTTTGTGGGCTCTCCAATCATACTTCGGTCAATCCGCCGGCGCCTTTTCTATAATATAAGGAATAACGTGTTGAGAAAATGATCTTGTTAACAAAAACTTATTCTGATAGATTTATATACTATGCACAAATGACTTCATATAATAATATTTTTACCCAGGACACAAAAATACCTAAATCTTGGTATCACCACAATCACCTCTTATGATGAGATCCCCCAGAGAATTATATGCACAAAAAAATGATTAGTAAAGTAAAATAATAGGTTATTATTTAGAACTTAAAATAGATTATTTGGTCTGACTTTGGCCATCCACATATTTGTATAGCAACCATTTAAGTTTTATTCTTTTAAAAAATGAGACAAATGTAAAATTATCATCTGTAACCATCATTCTTAGCAAAGAAGACAGTGTGACTTAAGTGCAGCATTCCGATTTTAAACAAAACATTCTAGCTTGCATCATTAACAGACTGATGCTATTTTGATGGTTGTTACTGAGATTATACCCAACTACCCTTCACCCGGAAGGAATCTGTCAGCTATCTGTGCAGGGGAGGTTTGGCTCTAGCCCATTCACTGATTTCTGGCCTATTCTGGCTGCAAACGAAACCCTGTCCAAGCAGCCACCCAGGCTGCAGCTTACTGCCTCTTCCTCATTTCTGACCCCACTTCCCAGCAGCTTCCCAGGAACTTCAGCCACAGGCTGCAATCCTTGTTCTACCAATGTGCCCTCCGCCTCACAAGACACTTCCCCACCCTGCTGCTGTGTTAAACTGACCATCCGAGATTTTTCCACAGAAGAAGGTTATCATCAGACCCGAGTGTTCCGTGGCTCCTTAGATACTGTGATAAACTGAGAGGGGCCACGGGCACAGCTGGCTTACTGTCCTAATACCATCTCTGCGTATCCCCATTTTCTTCCCTTTCAACAGAATACATCTCCTGAAAATGCCATCTGCATCAAAACTAAGGCAAGTTACAAAGTTGTTGGATTAGGTTAGGTTGCCTCTGAACATAGTATTTTAAGTCTCCATCTACTGAAATGTTGCTATGCTCTTGATAAATCCTAAAAACTTATCCAGATAGACACAGGTGACAGTTCCTCAGGATTAGAACATGATTTTCTACAAAGCCACAGAAGTGGAGAGTTCATACATTAATTTTAGAAGCTAGTATATATTGTTTTACTGCCCTCTAGCTTTTATTGCCACAGATTAGAATCCCAAAAGCCTGTTGTTTTCCCTTGAAGTTATGTTCATCCTCAGAGTTGAACAGTGACTCTGGACTATCTCCAGGTTTGCTGGTTTTCCCTTCCAGTGTTCTGTATGGCATATGGAAGTCCCTCTCTATCTGAACATGGGTTTTCCTATAGCTTACTGAAGTTTTCTTGTATTATTTCTTTGATATTGCTCCTTGTGTTCTTTTTTGCTATTTCCAGAGCTTCTGTTATGTGGACATCTGAATGTGTGTTTGTGTGTCTAAGGGGGGTCGGGGGGAGGAGGGACGGAGGGAGGGAGAGCGTGTGTGTGTCTGTGTGTATGCATGTGTGTGTGTATAATCTTCCTGGTTTCTTCCATTATTTGTTTCCTCTTTATAGTTTCACTGCATTAGAAAATAATGCCACTTGATCCTCTTTAGGAATCCACAACTGTTTTCGTACAGTCCAGAGAGAAAAAAAAATTTAATGATTTAAATGTATTTATTTATTTATTTATGGCTGTGTTGGGTCTTCGTTTCTGTGCGAGGGCCTTCACCAGTTGTGGCAAGTGGGGTCCACTCTTCATCGCAGTGCACAGTCCTCTCACTATCGCGGCCTCTCTCGTTGTGGAGCACAGGCTCCAGACGCGCAGGCTCAGCAATTGTGGCTCACGGGCCCAGTTGCTCCGCGGCATGTGGGATCTTCCCAGACCAGGGCTCGAACCCGTGTCCCCTGAATTGGCAGGCAGATTCTCAACCACTGCGCCACCAGGGAAGCCCCAGAGAGGAAATATTTTAAGCCTGCAGGCCATACAGTCTCTGTCAAAGCTCTGGCTCTACTCTATCATCACAGTGTGTAAGCAGCCACAGACAATGTGAGAACAAATGAGTATAGCTGTGTTCCAGTAAACATTTATGCACAAAAAAGGGTGGCAGGTGACATAATGGCCCATAAGTTCTGGCCTGCTAACCCCAGCTCTAGATCAGTAATTTTTTTTCAGTGGTAAATACATTATTATTTTTCTCCAATTATGATTATGTTTTGGAAGCTCTTTGCTATGCAATATTTTTAATCTCTTTGAGAATTTGTATTACATGTTTTCCTTTTTTCCTATCAAAGACGCCTGACTGAATGAATTATAGTCTATAACACCCGGGAGTAAAATATTCATTCCTGTACTTCTCCAAATTTAGTTACTTCAAGCCCCTTTTTGAAGGGTTAAGAAATTCAATCGGTCCTTTGGGGCAGTGTCCCATAGGGTTGTATAAAAATTTCAGGTTAAAATGGTGTCAGTAAGCCAAGGAAGGGTCTAGATCCCTTGTCTATGCTCTTCAATTTTCTGTTTCTTAGCACAACACACCAATTTCCTGCTCTCTTTTCCTTACATGGTGCTACTTAAGGAGGCTCACACAGATTCCCTGCCCCTAACCACAGACTTGTCACCCGCAGCCATCCTTTGATGTGGGAGGCCAAGTGCCACCAATGCAGGATAGTCTCTTCCACCCTGTTTCCCATTTTTTTCTACAAACTCTTAAGTTTGTCTATTTTTACCCACCCCATTCAACATACTTCCCCTTCATACTATTCTCTTCTGAGATGATACAGCACAAATCCCTAAATGAGCCTTGAGAAGCAATGCTACCTTCTCTTTTCTAGGATTGAGGTAGGGAAAAGACGATGTTAACAGTAGTTTTGTGTCTGTTTTCTTCTTGGTAACATACTGTTACATTACCATTAAATTTGTCTTGTTAGAAAACTATGTTTCTCAAAGCACATCCAAGTGCATCTTCACCAGCAGAGGACATGAGTTTTCTTGATACCTGAGTAAGACAAATTCTTGGGGTTTCTTCCACAGTACGCCCCCTGACGTACTGAAGGAGAAGGAGGCTTCCAGGGTCTCGGCACACCCCAGACTGAGCAGAAAAGGCTAGACGTCTACAGATGAAGACAAAGGATGGCGGTTATGTTCCATGGGCTCATGGCGTCTGCCAGACTGAAGACTTCCCCGAAGGCCTTGTGAGGCTAGCCTGCAGGGGCAACAGCTCCCGAGGTACAGATGGTGCCACCTGGCTCAGCCAGAGGGTCTGCTGAAGCAGGTGATGGGCTGGCCTATTTCAGAGAATAAGATCTCTTCCAGATCGTCCCTTGCCCTGTGAACACATAGGACTTCTAACAGTTCTGAATCCACATCATTTCCTCTGGAAGGGTGTGTCTGGGCCTGAGCAGATGGCTACACCTGGCCCACGAATCCACAATAAGGGATTTATTCTAACAGTCGAATTATTGCAAGAAGATGCTGGGAGAGAGGAGTCACCATGGAGCACTCAGGCCACCAGCCATCTCACCCAGAAATGTTTCTTGAAAGATTAATGAATGGATGTGCTTCTAGGTCGATATGCTTCTGAAAGAGGCATATTAATATACACTTATAAGCATAATATGACACTCTGAATAATGAGGGAGGATGTTCAAAAGGAGACAACTAAACTGGTTCAAAAGAGACTACTCTTGGGGCTTCCCTGGTGGCGCAGTGGTTGAGAGTCCACCTGCCGATGCAGGGGACATGGGTTCGTGCCCCGGTCCGGGAAGATCCCACATGCTGCGGAGCGGCTGGGCCCGTGAGCCATGGCCGCTGAGCCTGCGTGTCCGGAGCCTGTGCTCCACAACGGGAGAGGCCACAACAGAGAGAGGCCTGTGTACCGCAAAAAAAAAAAAAAAAAAAAAAAGAGACTACTCTCACAGTGAAAAGCAAAGGACAGGAAGACACCGACTTCCTTCTGTCACAGCAATTATGTTAGATAATTAATTTATAATCTGAAAATAATGACTACTTTTCAACTTGAACTTTACTGAGTTGGGAATGAGACTTTTCCTTTAGTACTGAAAGGGTTCTTCATGCCATCTACTCTAACCTGGATTGTAGGGTTAGAAGTAGAAGTTTTCTGTCTTTCCTTCTTTAAGGCTAGAAGGAGCACAACTTTTAAAGCAGGGGGATAACATGATCAAAATGGTTTTAAAAGGCATAATAGCTACAGATGGAAAGCAGGTTGGAGGGGTCCAAAAGAAAAATTATTAGAGTAATGTTGGTGAAAGGAGATTACTTGCATTCAACTAACAGCAGCATAAATGGAACATGTACAGATTCAAGCTGTGTTCAGTGGGTAAAATCAAAAGCATGTGGTTGTTGACTGGATTTGAGAATTGAGACGTAACAGTTAAGAAAGATGCACAGATTTCAGATCTGAATAGAGTGTACTCGATTTAATGGATTAGATAATACTGGAAGAGGGTCAGTCTTTAGGAAGAAGATGAAAGATTCTGTTTAAGACACACCGAATTTGAGACATCTATGAGACATTCAAGTGAGGTTATCAAGAGGGCAAGTTGAATACACAGATATAGGATTCTGAAAAGGGCTAAACTAGAGATAGGAAATTGAGAGTCACCAGAATAAAGCTGTCCAAGTTAATGAGACTTCCTAGGAAGAAAAGTGCACAGAGGAACTCTATATAAGGTTGGTCAGGAAAATAAGCCATTAAAGGAGGCCAAAAAGGAACAGCCTAAAAGTTAGGAGGAAAGTCAGATGTGACTTCTTCAAAGTGTGAAGGAGGGATTAGGCAATACTCTGCAAGCTGGTGGGAGGTCAGGTGAAGAGAAACATGTTTCCTGGATTCAGCAACATGAAGTGAGCACCTTGGTGATGCTGTGCCAGCACAGTGACAGGAGCTCCAGACATCAGCGGGGGAGTGAGGGGCATCCAGGAGGCGGGGAAATGGAGAACTCCAACACAGACAAGTGGACAAAGTCTGGTCTCTGAACAGGAGAAGACAGACAGCTGTAGCTCAAG